CACAAAGATTTTTGGGAGCAGGTGTGTGTTCACATATATTATGAACTATAATAGAAAGTTGGCTTGGCTTTTTAAAGATAAAATGAAATGTTTCACAAGGCTACTTTGGGTATCAGACCCAGACCCTAGAGTCCCACTCAGTTGGATAGTGTGAAAGGCAGTAGATTGGAAAGTGTGAAAGGCAGTGTTGGAGTAAGCACAGAGAATCCTAGAAGGTGTTCAAGCAGGGTCAAGGGTCATGATAAAAGCAGTGCATTAGAACAGTGAGCACATGAGACTCACCTGGGAGCTTTGCAAAAAATATATTCTCAAATCTCAATGCAGACCCATTTATCAGCTCTCTGGATATATGTTTTCAGTAGACTCCATAGGAGGTGATCCTGAGCCCAGCTGGATTTGAGAACCACTGCTTTAGACAAAAATTAGGAGTGGTTCTTAAGGCAGGCTAGAGTAGGTGAGAGTAGAAAGAGGAAGCTCCTAGAGGAGATGACAGGATATAGGAGAAGAATGACATATTTTTCAATAACAGCCAATAGGATTTAGAGTCTTATTGTTAAAGGATGAAGGCAAAGGTAATGATGAATGATGATGACATCTATGTTTCGGTTCCTAAAATGAGAATCATCGAAGTGCTGGAACTGAAAGTGGCCATATCCAACTTTCATTCACTTCTGTGAATTTTGTTTGTTTGTTTGTTTTCCTTTCATTTATTCATCATCTCAACAGACATTTTTTTTGAGCACCTACTATGTGCCGAGCATTACACTAGGTTCTGGAGATGGAGTGGTGAACAGCTAAGAAGGGTCTTGCCCTCACAGAGCTCACATTAACAGTTAATTCAACTCCACAATTAATTGTAACTGTGATAATGGCAACCAATGAGAAGTACAGGGTGGTAGGAGCACCTTAAAAGGGAAATGTAGCTTGGGAGACAGGGAAAGATTGCCTTGAGGAAGTAATGTTTGGGCAGACTGCTAAGAATGAGCAGTTGTTAACCATGTGACAATACTAAGGTCAATGTGAGGTGCGCCCACAGAGATAGACAGGGACCTAGAGTAAGTTGGTGACAGACAAGGCAGGGCCTTGAGGGCCACCACAAGTACTGTAGTCTGTTTTTTAAGAAAAATGGGAAACTACTAAAGGGTTTAAGCGTGATCAGATCTTTAGTTTTAAATAACTGTCTTTAATTGCATCAGGCCCTCTTCTTCCTAAATTCTATCCACAGGCAGAGATAAGTCCTGTTAAAATCTATGACACAGTGTATATTTAAATAAAAGATGAATGCTTTAGGTTGAAGTGTACACTCCTAGAAGTCCTGTTCTCTGTAATTTGCAAAAGTGTCATGTCTATGGAAACGTCTTGTGTATTAAGTGACAGTTGTTCTTAAGCTATATATTGCTGTGGTCCCCATAGAAGCCATTCTATGGCTTCTCTGATCTGTGGCCATTCAACCTCTGCTTCAAGATGTCCCTGGGCAACTCCTCTTCTATTATTGAATACTGCTTCTCTGAGATTGAGCCCCAACAGGCCTCTGTTTAACCTCTTGTACAGCCTTCTTGTGCAGTCTTTCTATTACCTCTTCTGCAGGACTGATCCCATGTCCCCACGTCAAATTTAGTGTCGTTTACAAACCCCCATTTCCTTCACTAGCACCTCACGTGGTTGTGTTATTAACAGAAAAAGAGAAACAGGAAGGGTCATCTGATTTGGTGGTGAATAAGATGAGTTCAGAACTGGGTCACTCAGAGGTTGAGTTGTCCTCTGAATGGAAATGTACCACAGGCAGGAGGCAATGCAGGAGTGGGACCCAGCTCATGGCTGAAGATGGATTTTTGAGAGTCCCCCGCCTAAAGGGGCTTGGTTCTCTACAGGAGTAAGTGTAGAGGGTGGGCTGAGATGATGGGGAGATAAGGGGAGAGAGGGGTAAGAGCCATAAAAGAAGAAAAAGCAAGTGGGCCAGAGGGGAAGGTGGGACACAACAATTAGTAAGCACTCACCATGGCCCAGGCACAGAGTGCTGGGCAAATATTACCACATTTCAGTCTCTCAGTGCTGGGTATCATTCGTGCTGCTTTACAACTGAGGGAACAAGACTTAGTTGGGTCACTTCCTTAGAGCAAGAGAAGCAGAGGCTATGAGCATGTATAACAGTGAGACTGGGGGACGGGAGAGGCAGAAAAGGCTTCTAGAGGGATGGAGTGGTGGCTATTAACCTGTTTAACCTATTTGAGTCCAAAATCCACATTTTCCCCATTTCTTCAAGGTAGGAGAATACATTTAGAAAAAAGTAGAAGGTCAAAAGTAGAGCTACAGAGAACTCCAGGAGATGGGACTTTGAAGATGTGAAAGATTAGATAAAATGGAAGCCATCTGTAACCCTTAGGCGTGGATTTTCAGCAGAAGGTGTGATTGGAAGGGAGGCTGCAGTGAGTGAAAGATGTGTGTACGGAGGAACAGGAGGCTGTGAGTGCTGACCATTTATTTGAGAAATTTGGCTAGGAAAGGAAGGAGGACAATGCTTAGGGATGGGGTGTGTGTGTGTGTGTGTGTGTGTGCGTGCGTGCGTGTGTGTGTGTGTGTGCGCGCGTGTGTGTGTGTGTATTTAATTTTGTGTTCAGTTGCAAGTTGTTTTTTTTTTTTTAAAGGGTAAGAAGGGTATGAGAAACTGATGGTATCCAAAACAGGATTGTTTTTCTGAACCAAAGATCAGAATGGAATAATGATAGGCTCTTGGCAGAAGGTGGGGAGGGAGGAACTTACTTGGCAGAGTGCTCACCCATGTGAGAAGGGGGGTTTGAAACTGATATTTGAGGGAGAGGCAGAGAAAACCTTGACTAAAATGGTGAAGCCAAACACTAACTAAGGCTGAGTGGTACAAGGAAGTGGAAGTGGTGCCCAGTGACCAGTAGAAGCCTGTGTGGGGAAGAGAATGAGGGTAAATACCATGGCCCCATGTGACTACATATACCTGTTGCAGAGTGTGGCTGAAATCCAAGTAATTATATTTGAAAAATATAATGTCTCTCATTTATTGATTGTTTCCTAAGTGCTAGCTTTCCCCATTACACTCCAAATGAAATGAAACTACAGTTCAGAGAAATTAAGTAATTTACCCAATTCTTACAAGATCATACGGCTAGAAAGTTCAGTCTAACCTCAAACCCCAGTTTGTCCATTCTCTGAACCATTCAGCTCTATTAAGTCTCTAGACTGATGAAGATGTCCTCATGGAACATGTTTGGATAGAAAAGATGACTATGGATAAGTATTCCTTTCCAAAGGACAGTAACTGACAGAAGGAATAGAGAATGAACTTGGATGTCAGGGAAGAGGTATGGGAATTCACAGCTATGGTGACAGGCTCATTACAGGAGTAGCTGCAGACTGCTCGGCCAGTAGAGGCTATGGATAGGGAAGCTGTGGCTTTCCTAATATGGTCCAACAGAAGGCAAAACACAGTTATAATGGATTCTTCCATTATTTCTTGAACAATAAAATTTCATTTAATGAAAAGCAGAGCCTTCGCATTGTTTCTCGAGTTGCCCAGTAGACAATATGACCTCTGAAAGAATATAGAATGCAGCAGAAGAAACTCTTATCTTGGGTTGACTTCTATTAGTTGAAAAAGAACTAGTTGCAGAGTGGAAAGGAAGGGCATCTTGGGGAAATCAGTACTTCATATGAGTCAGGCAGATCAGACATAACCTTGGACATTAAGAAGGCATATTGAAAAATATTTAATTTAGAGAAAAGTTAGGAAAATTTAGAAAATGTAGACCAAGACTTTAAAGACAAGATGGCTTGAGAAGACTGGAAGTTCACAAAAGCAAAATTGTGAAGACACAGCCACAGTCAGCAGGCACGGATAAATCGAATAAATAGGAGAAAATAGACACATCGACATATGTATTAGTATTTTATCAGTCACTCAGAAATGTCAGTGGGACAGTAGTCCAGTTATTGAAGGTCAGAGATGGATTTCCAAGAGACACACATCATGAAGGGGCTCTGGGATACAGAGAAGATTCTGACATGGGCCATCTTTGAGTTGTGCAAAAGCTGTCTAGCTCGGTACTTAAAGCAGAGTAGGGACTCAAAAAGTGTCATCAGAGTCAGACCAGCTAGTTGGGGGACCCAGCAAAGTTCTATAAAGCAATTTTGTTATGTTGAATCTTATTTTTAAAGATTGTAATTATTATAGTTGCCAGCATTTATTAGTCCCACATGCTAAGCATTGTTTGAAGTATTTTCCATGCATTTACTATTTACAACAATCCCAAGAAATAGATGTTATCAAGTATTAATATTTTATCTTTATATGAGGATAGTTAATTACTGGTCCTGTAGAAGGTGGTTATTAGTCATTGGTTACCTTCACCAATGGCCGATTCTCTTTGTATGATATTCACGAATTGGGAAATGCTGCTAGAAGGAATTTCATTATAATATAAGTGGTTTCTAAGTCTGTTACTACATCATATGAATTCTGCTTTACTCACGGGAAGACACATATCCTGTTAGAAGAGAAATCCTACTTCCTAGGTTTGTTTCCATTCTCCAGTCAGTTGACTTTGATGCTGAAATTGCTACTGAAGATCTGAACAGCACAGCTGCGGTGCGATGGAAGCCCCCCCAGGCTTTGGAGTCCAAGCCCTGATATAGGGCTTGGGCAGGTCACCTGCCACCACAGAGGCAGTAAGAAGCAAGATTAAGATCAGGACTTTAGTTCTGACCCGGTTCCACTTCTCTCACAGTGCATGACTGTGCAAGTTAATGTCGGTGACCTAACCCTGATGTTAGGGACTGAATTGTATCCACTCTCCACCCCCATTCATATGTTGAAACCCTAACCCCCAATGTGACTGCATTGGAGACAGGGCCTTTAGGGAGGTATTTCAGGGTCAATGAGGTCCTAAGGGTGGGGCCCTAAACCCCTAGGTCTGGTGTCTTTTTAATAACAGGAAGAGATACCAGAGATCTCTCTCTTCATGTGTGCACAGAGGAGAAGACATGTGAGGACACAGCGAGAAGGCAGCTATCTACAAGCTCAGAAGAAAGGTCTCTCCAGACACCAACCCTGATGGTACCTTGATTTTGTACTTCTAGCCTCTTGAACTGTGAGAAAATAAATTTTTGCTTTTTAAGCCATCCAGCCTATGGTATTTTGTTATGGCAAATATACCTAATACACCTGCCAAGCCGCTTTCTTGTGGGGTGTGGATTAATGATAGTACCCGCTCATAGTTCCCATCCCATCACTTGTTCCAAGAGAAGCCGTGTGAAAAGCTAAGCATGGTGCCTGGCATGTGGTAAGAGCTTGATGAGTTCAGTTGTTACTGTTATATACCTAAACATGCTTTCACAAGACCCGCACTTCTGAAAGCTGCTGGACAACAGGAGAGTGTGCACACACCCACCTGGGACCTGGGCACAGGGGCATGAGAAAGGTGTGCGGGAATGATTTTTTGTGTCATGTTTTATTTTAGAAACATACAGATTTTGCATTCTAATTAATAATTTAGTCATGTTTGTGCTAATTTATAAAGTGTTTGCAATAATTTATCACAGGAGACAACTACAACTAAGGATCTAGACAGATAACCTGGTCCTGTGTGCCCCACTCACATTTTCAGAAAGCTCGTGCCAATCACAAAGAACTGCTTTGGTGTGAGGATTTAGTAATATGTATTTATTTAGTAATGTGAGGATT